CTTAAGGTAAGTTTAATAATTGAGTAACAATGGCAACTTGATGAAATGAATGCAGAGCCTCTAAAAGTGACTTTATTGAATATTTTTCATTTGAATGTGCAAGTTCTTTTCACATTTCTTTTTAGGCACACTTTGTTTATCCTGAGTTTCAGTCTCTCATCAAAGAAATTCACATCTGGAAGCATGTTAAAAATCCTCTATACTCTTTTTAAAAACAGTTACTTAAGCCAAAATAACAGTGTTCTTATCGATCTGTCTGTAGCAANTCTGGAAGCATGTTAAAAATCCTCTATACTCTTTTTAAAAACAGTTACTTAAGCCAAAATAACAGTGTTCTTATTGATCTGTCTGTAGCAAAGATTTTCTGAATCAACCTTCTGACAAAGATGTATGTAGCAGCAGAAATTCAGCTCAGCACCTTGTGGCCAGAAAGCCCTCTTTTGCCTGCAAGTATCTTCTAACTGTGGTTGCCTAATTACTCTGACATATGCCTTATCTGCATGAATGTGTATAACAGGAAAGCAAAAAATAAAGACAACCTAAGAGAATCAGCTTGCAAAACATTTCCTCCCCTGGGCTTCCATCATGGTAAATTAGCTTCCCACCATACACACTAGAGGTATGTCCTCTAGGGGTGGGATGTCGTCACAAATTCCAGTCTTTGATAGGGTGACTTTAAAATAAGCTCATGCTCCCAAGATAGGTGCGCCTGTGATTCCTCTGCCTCACATGCTTAACCGCACTCTTACGGGCTCTGCTGAATTATTAGCGGTGTGCGTGCGTCTGTGAGCCTCCAGATTCTCTCCTCTCTGGCCAGGCAGATGTATTCTCTACTTTCCCGTAATACTTCTAGCACAGTCTTTATCACGCTGATTTGTATTTTCATGAATAAGTGGGGATAGTAGCACCCTCCTCCGGGTGCTCAGATGAGTAAATGTGGTGAAGCTCAGGACAGAGTGACACATACAAGGTTCTCCTCCATGTGAGTTTTCCAAGGCCCTGATTGCCATGGGACAACACGTCCTCATGACCCAGATGCAGACACTCCTTCCCTCTCCCTACGCTTTGTCTCAGGCTGAGACGCCCCAGTGAGACTTCCCAGGTGACCCTGGAAACCAAGGGCAGGGGGAGGAGAGCGCGGGGGGGGGGGCATGCTTCTGCTCGCCCCTCGCACTGTGCTCAGACTGCAGGCCTTTGGGTCTGGTGTTTCCCTGCCTCCTGCTTGAAAGCCAAGGTAATAGGAACCCTCTGGATGCCTTAAGGAATCAGAAAAATCAAGTATTCCTGTACTAAAAGCAGCCAGATTCTGAACTGTTATTGGAAACAATGGCACCCACACTGGGAAACTAGCCAGAATGGAGGAGGATTTCAGCTTCTCCTGAGTTATGATGGTCTAAGATTTTACTGTATTGCTGATAAGTCTCCATGAAAAATGCTGCATTTTTCAGGTTATGTGTTAAGCTGTCTACAGTGATGGATTATATCAAGATGAAAAGACCCAAGGGTTTGGACTTTAACTCTTCCCCGTATCTGAACATTTGTACATTCGCAATCTTTTTTGCTACTTCTGCTGTGTTTCATCAATATCTGTCTTATTCTCTTGATAAAAAGTTGCATTTTAGTTAAAATGGTTCATACGTCATCAATAGCGCTTGCCAGAATTAGATGGAGGACATTTTTTTTAAATGCAAAACTTCACTGAAAGAGTATTTTCTGTTAAGACAAATCTTTATATTTTGATAATGATTAGCTTATTTTTAAGACTCTAATCAGGAAAAAATTTAAATTACTGTGTCTATTTTTTTATAAATCTGTTGTTATAAAGTCTTAGTTTTTTGTTTCAGTATCTAAGTAAACAATTACTTTAAGAAATATTTTAGGAGAACTTAAAAATAGAATATGTCATGTCCATGATGTTTTATCCTGGGTTCCTGAAACTAGTTGTATTATAGAAAATTGAGTAACACTTCCTATAGTGGAATGTCCCACACACAGATTAATACAAAGTTTCTTATTAGATGTATTACAGACCTATATGTGAAAAAATGAAACATTATCATAAATTATTAAAATTCACAAACATGCTTTAAAAAATGTTTATTATTCCATTTAAATACAATGTTCATTTACATATTTCTCCATAATTATCTTTTGTAAAAAAAATTGCACATAAATACAAAGTTACAATGAGAACTATCACAGGAACAAAGAGCTCCATCATTTCTGACTTTTTAAAACTACATAACAAATTAAAACACAGTTCCCTTTGAAAACTAGAGAATATTTCAGGGTTAAGAATTTGATTACCCTTCACTGGGTGAAAGAGGTGAAGGGACTAAGAATCACAAGTTGGTAGCTGCAAAACAGTCACAGGGAAGTAAGTAAAGCATAAGAAATATAGTCAATCATACTGCGGTAGCGATATATGGTGCCGGTTGGGTACTGAAAATATTGAGGGGAACATGATGTAACGTATATGATTGTCTAACCACTAAGCTGTACACCCAAAACCAATTCAAAATAATTTTTTTTTAAAGAATTTGATTACGCTCAATATAAACGAATCTAAAGTCCTCATATAGCAAAAGGCCAGTCAGTTCTGAGAATATTAGACTAATAATCCAATCATAGGGAATTGTTTGAAATGGTTTACCAACTCTTTTTCCTTAAAGCAGAAATGACAAATTGTTACCTAGATAAGGGGCCCTTTTACCCCTACCGCAGGACAATATTTAAACATTAGGTATAATTTGGAAGACTAGGTTAGGAAATGCCCATTATGGCCAAAGCTCCTTTCTTTTTCAGCAAACTAAAGGGTGTTACATACTTGGCCCCATGGTCTGGGTGGAAAATGTAGGATTCTACAATTCTGAAAACTGGGTTTCTATCTGAATGATGTAGGTTTTGGAGGGTCAAAAATTCAGAGAAGAGATGAGTAGAAATATTAGGAGAGTAGAAACAGGAACAAGGAGCCAGTGGTCTGGCTTAGCGCTGAGAATCAAAATTAAAACATGAAACTATCACTTGAGGGACTGAACATTGCACTTACACTAATTATAAACCTTCAGGGCACCCACATTCAAAGACAGAGCTGCAAAACAGGAAAAGACAGAGTGGCTGTCTTTCCTGGGTCTGAGGGCTTTGACAATATATGATGTTTTCCATCGGTACATTTAGTGGTTTCACGGCCTTTTCTTTCAGATGGAGTGAAGTTGTGAGTTGCATTCTTTGCATCAGCAACAAACTGGGCTCCCGTCACAATAAAGGGTGTTATCAGTGCAAATTCATTGACTATTTACAAGCGTATATGATAACTGCATTCAAAAGCAATCTATGAAGGAATATATTATATGGGAAACGACCCTAATATTTTTAACCTACAGATCTAATTCTCTGCAGAAAATCTAGAAAGTAATCAAGCAATAGTGCTGTTTTAAGCACAGAATGTAAAACAAAGTTTATCTTCATTATGGATGGCACAACAAAAAATTACACACTTTGTAAATTTTATTTATTTTTATTTTTAATTTTTTTCACTCCCATGTATGGGCGTCTAAAAGGAAACCAGAGGCAGGTAAGTGATACAAAAACCCACTTACGAATGCGATTTGGCCCTGGAGGGTGACAATCCAGTTATAATCTCCCTCCTCCACCCCTCCCCCAAAGGAAAATAAACAAAAGAAGCACCCCCCTTTAGCCAGTTGCAGGCACCACGTTATTTACTCAGTAAAGATAATTAGTTTGCTCTGATCTTCGAGCTCCCCGCATCCTGCTTTTACACCCAGAGACAGCAGGCCTGTAAATTCACTTTAATTGCTGTCATTTGGCTTCCACCTACCTCAACAGAACACTGCACATGGCAACCTGTTGGCAGTGAGTTGACCAGACAGATCTTTCTCCTTTACTTTAGGAGACAGGTCTCTTGGGAAGATGGGTGTCCATCTCATTTCAGTCTACACTTTAAATTTTAGTGTGAGTACTGCAATTATGTACTTTTTATAGATTTCCTTTCATTACTTAATCCACAAAATTAATTAGGATATATAGGAAATATAACGTTATATTTTAAATAGGTCTTTAAAATATACTTTCAATGGTAACTATTTTTTACAATATTTATCTTTAAAATAAAACATATAAACATTCCTTCATATACACATGAGCAATTTCAAAGAGTGGGAATACCCTTTTCATATGTAAACATTTTTTAAAGAAGTATTTACAAGAGAAGAGAAAAATGTTCCCTTCCAAAGACAAAGATCTGTAATATTTCTCTTATTCAACAGATATTCTTCTCATTTTTTCAGCTAATTCTTTTCTCACTTCAATATGTTTCTCTAAATTTTGCACTTCATGTGGAAGATTGATGTCCCAAATAGACAAGTAAGATTGTAATTCTAGAAAAATGAAGAAATGAAATCATGTTTCAAAGATTTGCCATAAAGTATTTTTATTTTATTTTAATCGCATTAATTTATATTTAGTTACCTTGGACAAATGTGTATATATAAATACACCTACATATCATGTACTAAATTATTGCCATTTATAAAAATTACATTTTGAAAATGTTTTTTAAAAATTGTTAAGCCAACTAGAATTTTTAAAAAGAGTATGGACCTTGAATAACCTAATATCTCATTTTCTGAATGAAATACAGCTTTTTTCAAACACTGTTCAAAATCAGGCATCATAAGGATAGGTAAGATGCAAGGAAAAATACCCACATTTAGCTTAAATTTGGGCTTGTTCTAATTTCATAATGGTTGATATCTCTACTTTGTCATAAAAATAAACACTTAACACCCTTAAATCACTAACACTTAATTTTGAAGATTTATGTCTAAATTATTTGCACTATAAAGAAGCTACCAATTAAAAATGCTTAAAATGTTATAGCATATGTATTATTTGCTATAAACATAATAAAACACGTAACATGTTATAATCATCTATATCATTGCACTATGTCTGGAATACAGTACCCTATTGGACATTACCTTTTTGGTGTTGCATGCCTTCAGTACTCTTCTGGGTGTACCCCAAAACAAACATGGCATTTTTAAGGCTTCCTTCATTTAACAAAAAAAAAAAAAAGNCTTTTTGGTGTTGCATGCCTTCAGTACTCTTCTGGGTGTACCCCAAAACAAACATGGCATTTTTAAGGCTTCCTTCATTTAACAAAAAAAAAAAGAGTTTTCTGTTAAAACAATATAATAAGTTGGACTAAAAAATGTACAGTTCACAGTTTAAGACACAAAAACCTTAGAATTAATTTACATTTTTTTGGAGACACCTAATTATACTGAATAAAAAGCTTTCCAAGAAGACCAGAAATTTTTTAAAGTTAGAAAATTTGTGATCTATTTCTTGCTATAATTCTTATTATGTGAATCTGAGAAAGTAGATTAACCTTTCTGCAAAATGGGTTTAATGTTTATATATTACCCTTCCAGCAAATTTATAATATTATATGAGATTATGTATGTGAACATATTTTGAATATTATAAGGCACTAGTCAAACGGGAAGCATTCAGATGGAGAATGGCATGGATGGATAAATGGATACTCTGTCACAAAGCCATACTTTCTCCTCAAGTCATTCACTAACTTACTCAACATATATTTATCAAAAGTCCTCTATGTTCTAGGCCTAGGCTAGGCCCTGGGAATAAAGGGTCAACAAACACATGCAAATTCAACCCACACAGAGTTTATGTTCTAATGAGATTAATTACTAATTAGTAACTAAGTTAACTAAGGGGAAACTACAAAACCTTGAGGCAGTATGAAGCATGGTATTTAATAGGGGCTACACGTGATTCTAGATCAGAAAGAGCTGGGAGCAATGTCGCAAATGATGGAGGCTAGAGAGGTGGGAGAAGCCAGATCATGCTCCATCTTGTAAATTATGCTTAAATTTATCTTTATTTTAAAAATTGATTAAACACATTGAAATCCCACTGTAATGCCAGTAATGAACAACCTCATGGGTCCCAAAGTAAATACAAATTAAATTAGAGGACCTAATAACCTTGTCAGAATAAGACTAGAGAGACAACTCACTGCAGACCACCAACTCTGCTTGGACATGTATCCTGACAGCTACCAATCATGAGGAACATCTCGTTCTAACTCCATTGGGGCAACTCTGATATTCATGCATGGGGAATGGGGGAGGAGAAACACTGTCCCTCCTTAATATATTCCTGTAAAAGAATTTACAATTTTCTTCACCTTGTCATACATTGTATTACTTATTTGCTAAAGCTACATAAATTCTAGTTTTGCAGAAGTTAACCCCATGATGTTATTTTTGTGATCAACTTCATATATATACTAATACTATTATTTTATATCAAATAATTAGTCACCCAGCCAGGCGTGGCTCAGCAATTGAGCTTCGACCTAGGATCCAGGTGATCGGGGTTCGATTCCCGATCAGGGCACATGCCCAGGTTGCAGGCTGCAGCTGATCAATGACTCTCTCATCATTGATGTTTCTATCTCTCTCTCTCTCCCTCTCCTTTCCTCTCTCTGAAATCAATAAAGATATATTCAAATAATTAGTCAAAAGTAACAATGAAATAGGATTATCTATGTAGAAAATATATTTCATGTACCATAATGATTTCATCGGATTTAAATAGATAAAAAAGTAGGAGCAAGAAAAGATAAAAGCTTGAGTAAAACATCATGATTTGTCACTATTTGTAGATTGTGTAGTTCAGCATATCCTGTTAAAAGAATATCAATTTGTTTCTAGAATGAGAAGCCAAATAGAATTCTTTAACAAGAGTGGGGAGCTTAAACTATAATCAAAATAAACATTTGCTTTAATTTCTTTGGTCAAAAAATAAAAAATACTCAGTATTTTACATTTCTCACTTTGCCTTAGGTATAAAGGAAGAAGAGGAAGTGAACCCCAGACTTGTGTGGGCTTGCAATCATGTGCTTCTCTTACGGGATGGGGAGCATCTGCTAACTCCATTTTTTCAATGACCCTAATTCAAACTTTATCCCAGTCCTAATGCTTCATTACGGGAACTTCTAAGACATTTCAAATGACACTGGAAATTGAAGGGAAAACTTAAATTAAAATTAACATTTTATCGTTTTAGAGAACATGAAACAAGAAATCTAAAGGAAAGACACTTGCCTAACTGCGCTGTTATCATGACTCTAACAGAGTCACAGAAGTCGTGAATTATACGTATAAGTCGACGAGTTGACAGATCAAGGAGCAGCACGCAGCCCCCTCCGGTTCCGATCCAGAGAGCAGTGTTCTTCTGCAGGCACAGAGTTTTCACTCTCCCCAAATAAGACATATTGAGTTTGGACTCCTTGTTTGCTTTCACCATTTCCTCCCTAAATCCATATAAAAAGTATGCATTAATAATCTTTCAATGGTTAAGTGATAAAACAGATGCGTCTATATATATATGTATATGCACACACGTATATAACATTTTAAATTATAAATACATGACAGTAGGTATTATATAGCATTAAAATTATACAAAACTAATTTTGCTTTACACCAAATTCCAAAGGGTCACATTTCTCTACTTGAAGCATAAATTATCAAACACAACACAACAGCCACTTAATTTCAAGAAATTCTGAACTAAATAGGATAAATACAACATATATAAATAAAAATCCAGTTAAAAAGAATACGTTTTCCCAATAAGAAGGAAAAAAAGTTAGTTTCAAAAGTTTTCCATGAAGCATAAAAGCTTCAAAGGAAAATAAAATTATAATCATTTTAGATTACATAGTGTGTAATCTAAATGTTCTCCAGAGTATAAAAACCGTATACAGTAAAAACAAAACAAAACAAAAACAGAAAGTGTCTAGCAAGTCAGGTCCTGTTCCTCAGCAGCAGCACCAAGGGATGTGCGTGATGTCAAGTCTGAGGTTTATCTCAGACACGCTCACTGTTACCAGACTGGGAACTGGGCTCTTAGGCTGGGGTTTGGTCTTCTCTCCTTAGTTAGTGCATTGGTCAGTCCAGTGGGTTTCCCCCCATATTTTTATATTGTTTTGTGACCTTTTATCTTTAGAACACGGTATTTTTGGACCCATGGTCTAATCACAAGCAGTAATAGTAATACTATAACTCTACTAGATGTACAGCCAGCAATGAATCCAGTATGGTCATTTTGAATAATACACTATTTTTTCATTAGAGAATATTCTTTATAATATCTTGAGGAAACCATAAATACTATATTCCTTTTTTTTTATTATTTTTCCAAAATGAAATTTGCTGGATACCAAGAGGTGGTGTTGAAAAGCATGAACAATTTTGTTCCTGAGGTGTTTTCTTTTAACTTTCTATGTGGAGGTAGGAAGGAAGAAAAGTAAGTAATACTTGCCCAGCCTGTGAAATCTGAAGTATAAGGACAGCTCTTACCAGCATAAAATAAGAACCAATGATAACAGGGCCTACAGTCCACCAATAATATATTGTACACTTAAAATTTTGGCCCTGCCGGACATGCTCAGTAGTTGAGCGTCGACCTAGGATCCAGGTGATCGGGGTTCGATTCCCGGTCAGGGCACATGCCCGGGTTGCGGGCTCAATCAATGGCTCTCTCATCATTGATGTTTCTGTCTCTCTCTCTCCCTCTCCCTTCCTTTCTCTGAAACCAATAAAGATATATTTAAAAACTAAAAATAAAAATAAATAAAAATAAATAAAAATAAATAAAAATAAAATAAAATAAAATAATAAAATAAAATAATAAAATAAAATAAAGTAAAATAAAATAAAATAAAATAAATAAAATAAAATAAA